AGGTGTGTGCGTGTGTGTGTGTTCACCTGTGTCAGGTGTGTGTGTGTGTGTGTGTGTGTTCACCTGTGTCAGGTGTGTGTGTGTGTGTGTGTGTTCACCTGTGTCAGGTGTGTGTGTGTGTGTGTTCACCTGTGTCAGGTGTGTGTGTGTGTGTGTTCACCTGTGTCAGGTGTGTGTGTGTGTGTGTGTGTTCACCTGTGTCAGGTGTGTGTGTGTGTGTGTTCACCTGTTTCAGGTGTGTGTGTGTGTGTGTTCACCTGTGTCAGGTGTGTGTGTGTTCACCTGTGTCAGGTGTGTGTGTGTGTGTGTTCACCTGTGTCAGGTGTGTGTGTGTGTGTGTTCACCTGTGTCAGGTGTGTGTGTGTGTGTGTGTGTGTGTTCACCTGTGTCAGGTGTGTGTGTGTGTGTGTTCACCTGTGTCAGGTGTGTGTGTGTGTGTGTTCACCTGTGTCAGGTGTGTGTGTGTGTGTGTGTGTGTTCACCTGTGTCAGGTGTGTGTGTGTGTGTGTTCACCTGTTTCAGGTGTGTGTGTGTGTGTGTGTTCACCTGTGTCAGGTGTGTGTGTGTGTGTGTTCACCTGTGTCAGGTGTGTGTGTGTGTGTGTTCACCTGTGTCAGGTGTGTGTGTGTGTGTGTTCACCTGTGTCAGGTGTGTGTGTGTGTGTGTTCACCTGTGTCAGGTGTGTGTGTGTGTGTGTGTGTTCACCTGTGTCAGGCACGTCCGTCGGCCTCATGATGCGTCTAATCTGCTCCATGGACTGAAGGTCTGGAGAAAGTCCTGTGAGAGGAAACACAGATCTCAGATCAGCTGCAGTATTATGGGATGCACTCCGCCAGTGAAGGTGTTGCCGTGGAAACCTGCCTCCGTGACAGCAGAAGATCTTCTCGTCGACGATGGCTGCGATCGGCAGACAGTTGAAGCAGTCGGTGAACGTCTTCCACAGTTTGATGTTAAACCTGCGTTTGCCTGAGGAACACAATCAACACACCGCCGGCGGGTTAGGGCTGTCATGGCAACGGCGGGTTAGGGCTGTCATGGCAACGGCGGGTTAGGGCTGTCATGTTCAGTTATGTAATCAGATTACTTTTCCAAGTAAAGTGTGTGTGAGGATGCAGATGTGTGTGTGTGTGTGTGTGTGAGGATGCAGATGTGTGTGAGGATGCAGATGTGTGTGTGAAGATGCAGATGTGTGTGTGTGTGTGTGTGTGAGGATGCAGGTGTGTGTGTGTCTGTGTGAGGATGCAGATGTGTGTGTGCGTGTGAGGATGCAGATGTGTGTGTGAGGATGCAGATGTGTGTGTGTGTGTATGAGGATGCAGATGTGTGTGTGTGTGTGTGTGTGTGAGGATGCAGATGTGTGTGAGGATGCAGATGTGTGTGTGAAGATGCAGATGTGTGTGTGTGTGTGTGTGTGTGAGGATGCAGGTGTGTGTGTGTGTGTGTGTGTGTGAAGATGCAGATGTGTGTGTGTGTGTGTGTGAGGATGCAGATGTGTGTGAGGATGCAGATGTGTGTGTGAAGATGCAGATGTGTGTGTGTGTGTGTGTGTGTGTGTGAGGATGCAGGTGTGTGTGTGTGTGTGAGGATGCAGATGTGTGTGTGTGTGTGTGTGAGGATGCAGATGCGTGTGTGAAGATGCAGATGTGTGTGTGTGTGTGTGAGGATGCAGATGTGTGTGTGTGTGTGTGTGAGGATGCAGATGTGTGTGTGAGGATGCAGATGTGTGTGTGTGTGTGTGTGAGGATGCAGATGTGTGTGTGTGTGTGTGAGGATGCAGATGTGTGTGAGGATGCAGATGTGTGTGTGTGTGTGAGGATGCAGATGTGTGTGTGAGGATGCAGATGTGTGTGTGTGTGTGTGTGTGTGTGAGGATGCAGATGTGTGTGTGTGTGTGTGTGTGTGTGAGGATGCAGATGTGTGTGTGAGGATGCAGATGTGTGTGTGTGTGTGTGAGGATGCAGATGTGTGTGTGAGGATGCAGATGTGTGTGTGTGTGTGTGAGGATGCAGATGTGTGTGTGAGGATGCAGATGTGTGTGTGTGTGTGTGTGTGTGTGTGTGTGAGGATGCAGATGTGTGTGTGTGTGTGTGTGAGGATGCAGATGTGTGTGTGTGTGTGTGTGTGTGTGAGGATGCAGATGTGTGTGTGTGTGTGTGTGTGTGTGAGGATGCAGATGTGTGTGAGGATGCAGATGTGTGTGTGTGTGTGTGTGTGTGTGTGTGAGGATGCAGATGTGTGTGAGGATGCAGATGTGTGTGTGAAGATGCAGATGTGTGTGTGTGTGTGAGGATGCAGATGCGTGTGTGTGAGGATGCAGATGTGTGTGAGGATGCAGATGTGTGTGTGTGTGTGTGAGGATGCAGATGTGTGTGTGAGGATGCAGATGTGTGTGTGTGTGTGTGAGGATGCAGATGTGTGTGTGTGTGTGTGTGTGAGGATGCAGATGTGTGTGTGAGGATGCAGATGTGTGTGTGTGTGTGTGTGTGAGGATGCAGATGTG